CATTTGCAATGTCAAAAGAGCTACTTAAAACAACTAGAGAGTATACACAGCAGCAACTACAATTAGCCCATAAATATTTGCAATAATTCCCAAAGCAGGTTTGTTTCTTAAGCAAAAATGTTAATAATTATCAGAAGCCCAAAGAGAACTCTGTAACAGGGAAACCAACTTCACCACAAAGATTTGTACTGCCCTGGAAGGTGCACAGCCAAGTCCACATAACAGTACCTCGAAACTCATCCACCCCCCAAGGAAAAATGTGAAGAGTTAGGCCTTCTTCCTGCTCCCCAGGTTGTACTTCTCCCAAGACTTTGGAGACTTCTACCAGCCCAGTAGCCTCATGCTGGCCCAACACACAGTATGTGTCTTCACTTTTATTTTGAAAACGAATTTTAAATTTTTAGTTATGAGCCAGGCACTAGTGGCTCATATCTGTAGTCCTAGCTACTCAGGAGGCAGAGATCTGACAATCAAGCTTCAAAGCCAGTGTGGGCAAGAAAGTCCGTGAGACTCTTACCTCCAAAGTAAGAAGTGGAGCTATGGCTCAAGTGGTAGAATGCTATCCTTGAGTAAAAATAAAACTCAGGAACAGTGCCTAGGCTTGAATTCAAGCCCCAGGACTAGCACAAAAAATATATATATATATATTATTGTGAATATTTTCAAGCAGTTGTAAAATACAGGAGTATATCTATACTTACCACCCAGCTTCAAGAATTACCAACAGTTTGCCACATGGTAGTTTTAATTAAAAGTAGACATTTTTTCACTGATTCAACATAGTAGCAGCTACAATTACACTCTGTATTAGACTACTCGGCTGAAGTTTAAGCAGTGTTTGAAGAGTGTCATGCCCATCACTCTGATGCACCCACTACCCCGTGATAACCTACATTTACCTTGGCTAAATTGTGACCTCTCAGGGAGCAGTACCCAACAGCAGAGGCGTGCAGAGAGGGAGGGGTGAGGACTGCCAGGACCAACGAGTGATGTGGCAAGAATGAGAGAGGGCCAAGGTCCTGTCTGCCTCAGCCCAAACTGCACTACAGAGAAGGTAAGACGGATTTGGGAGGGTTGTCTTTTTTGGTTGGTCATGGAGTTTTAACTCTGGGCTTACGTGCTGTCCCTATGATTTTCAGCTCAAGTCGAGCACTCTACCGCTTGAGCCAAAGCACTACTTCCAGTTTTCTAGTGGTTTATTGGAGATAAGAGTCTCATGGACTTTCCTGCCCAGGCTGGCTTTGAACCGTCATCCTCAGATCTCAGCCTCTTGAGTAGCTAGGATGACAGGCGTGAGCTACCAGCACCTGGCTGGATTTGAGAGTTTTTAAAGTTGGAAAAGAAAAAGAAAAATCACAGGTAACCAAGACCACATGTGGTCCTCCTTGCCTCGACAGTTCTTCACCTGGCCTTTCCCAGTAAAGAGCCAGACCCTCAAAGCACAAGTGTTAAGTTAGGGCAAGACATGGCTTCACCTTCTGACAGTGCGGCAAACTCACCCTTTGGGAAGATGTGTCCGCTTTTTCCCAAATATTTATACTAATCTACAAACCCACTAACCTGTCCGAGACGTGTGAAAAATCTGTACACCACTGACGGTTTCCCATGGACAGAATCTCCAACGCTGTCACCTTCAGACATTCTGTAACTGAGAAAAACACAAGAAGCTCCTAAGTTAAATAAAAAGCACTCGATGATGGGAATTTTTGGCCAGTACTGACCAAGCTGCCAAGCAGGTCTTTTTAGTACTTAGTGTTTCTTTCATCAGGACCGTATGTGTGTCTCCCATGAACTATTTGCCAAGAAAGCAGCAGGTGACAGGCTTTGGTACAGGGAGAGGATGGAAGGAGGTAGCAGCTGATGGACTTTAACTTCTGCTTGCTCCTCAACCACACACAGACACACACACACACACAGAGTGCCGTCCACCTACGAGAGCTGTCCTTTCTCACCGTGGAATCCTCTGGCAGGCCCTTGTATGTGGCCTGTTCACCCTCCCCACAGATCTCTTCGTGGAGACCCCATCTTCTTCATACTCCGCCAAGTCTGTCTTCCCAGTGCCTCTCCTCATCAAGAGGAAAATGTACTGGCTTACAAGCAGCTCATGTCCCCATTTCTTATCTGGCAACTAGAAGTAATACTATCTGCTCCAGACGATTTCAGCATCTGCTGGGATCTCAGGCAGAATTTACCTGTGAGAACCCAGGTGCCAAGTCAAATGCTCTCTCTCCATTCCCAGATGGCCAAGAGTACAGGCATCATTACCCTCATTTTACAAAGGAGGAACAAGTCTCAAACAGACCAAGGTCATGGAAATACCTCTGCTCAACAGCTCAAGGCCCAGCCTGATACCAACTCTTCCACACTAAACATGAACTAGAACTCACCATTTTGGGGGAAAGTACTGCTAAGTAGGAACCTCACAATGAACCTTCATGAGCTATTTGTAGACCCCTAAGTCAGGGGAGATGCTGGGGTAAAGTTCACATCCCCTCAAATCTGTAGGTGACACCTGTCCACACTCCCTCTGCTACGCTTGGGGTGGAGAGGAAAACAGACTCCTTTCTTAACTAGGTTGAAGTCCCATCTGTGCTCAACAGCTCGGAGGCCTCAGCACCTGCTGGCCACACAGCCTGATTCCTCATTTGCAAAAGGAGGCTCTTTCCAACACCAGACACACCGGCAGACTTCACTCCACAGCAAGCCTTCAGCACAGTCTTACTGTCCCCACCTGGATGAGAAAACTGAGGGCCAACCCACAAAAGCTTGAGTTTTCCCAGTGATTGGTGTGTAGCACGGTGAGCTTTGAACCAGAACCCATACCTGCCTAAGTCCAGCACCTTCTAAACCATAGCCTCACTGTGCACATTGGGGAAACTGTCCACTGGAAGTCAGCATGCAAAAAGCTGACAATGGATGACAAGTAATCTTCTGATCTCAACCGGAGAGAGAGAGAGTGAAAGAGAGAGAGAGAGAGAGAGTGTGTGTTTAATAGGTCCACAGGCTGCAACCTCAAGTCTTTGTAAGGGTGAGTATGTGGGCACCAGTGGGTCACTCCTGTGATCATAGCTACTCAGGAGGCTGATACCCAAAGGTCAGCAAAGTCAAACTGGGCAGGAAAGTCTGTAAGGCTCCATCTCCAAAATAACCATCCAAAAGCTGGAAGCATGGCTCAAGTGGTTGAGTGCCAGCTGGGCAAGCAAAGCAAGTGAAGCAAGTACCAGGCCAAGTTCAAACCCCAGTATCACCACCAAAAAAAAAAGAGATGTAACTATGACCCCACTTTTCCTAGACCCATCAATGACAGTGCCCAGAGCTGTCCAGGAGACTAAGAAGTACCATTTGGTCTCAGGTAAGCCAAGCAAACTAAAAACAATTTAACAAAAAATAAATTAATCGGTGTAACATGAAAATGAATTACATAGAATGGCCACATTATTTAGGCCAAAGCCCAGCCTGCAGAAAACTGTTGCAGTCTTACTATCCATCCTACAGTGCTGGAAAACTTTTTAAGCTGACCAAAGTGTTTACCACTAAAACACTTTTGCCCAAGTTATGTACTCTAAGAGGCATTACTTAAAACTTTTCTTTGGACTGGTGCATGGAGAACCTAACACAAAATGTACTACCACTTTCAGGTCATTCGACAAACACTGCTCTACATCTTGACTAGACTCACCACCTGTAACAAGCCAAGAAGGATAGGCATGATTAAGAACATGAACTTTGGAGCCCAGTGCCAGCTTGGATCCCGTCCTACATGCCGCAGTGGCATGACCAGAGACAGCTATTTAAAACTGCTTGGGGCTCTGATCTGTAGAATGGGATAGTAGCACCTTGGTGCTTCCTCCAAAGGGTTCTTTTGAGGAGCTAAAGGCGGCCAGTGCTGTGCTCAGAGCCCGGCAGGCGGTATGTACCCAGCTCTCAAACACGTCAGACTTGTTCCTGGATTAGGGCAGTCCTCACACCAGCTGTTCTAGCTGCAATCCTCTTCCCTTTGCTGAGAGTAAAGGTCACCTCCTCAGAGGCCTCCTCTTGCTGTCAAGAATGACCACTGGTTCCTGATGTTCCTCACCCAGTTTTTGTTTGACAACTGTTTTCTGATACCCTTCTAGCTTGCCTCTCAATTTCCTCCTACTAGAAGGCAAGCTTAAAGGGGACTGGGAGGTGGCTCAGTGGTAGAGCGCTTGCCTTGCATGCTCGAGGCCCTGGGTTCGATTCCTCAGCACCACATAAGCAAAAAGAAAAAAGCCAGAAGTGGCGCTGTGGCTCAAGTGGTAGAGTGCTAGCCTTGAGCGGAAGAGCTGAGAGACAGCGCCCAGGCCCTGAGTTCAGGCCCCACAAAAAAAAAAAAAAGAATGGAAGCTTGAGAGCCCCTTGGCCCCTTGTCTGGTTCTGCATGTACCATCGCCTATCTATCGAATACAAACATCGCTCCACCAAAAAGAAGAAAAACAAAAACCACACCTGACAGGCCACCAGTACCATCACACCAGAAAACTATACAAACATTCTTTATGTGCCTGGATCTGGAGTCCACCAGCTTTTGTAATCCATCACTCTTACACTAGGCTCACTGCACAAAGAAGAAAGCCTTCTGCCCAGCATCTGCAGCTGACACTTCCTGGTCAAGGAAGAGCCCCTGGGACTGCACACCCTTAGAGCCAGTCCCTCCCTGACAAGCCCTGAGACCCTACCTCTGGTTTCTTCCCAAGGCCACGCCTGGACTCCTCCCTCCCCTGAGGATGGACCTCCTCCCGGCTTTGATCCACTCTTCCTCCACTGCAGTCACCCCACACACATATCAGGACCCGAATGACAGTCTCAGTTATTGAGGGGCCTTTGCACAACCCAACAAAGAACAGAGCAGTTCCAGAACAGTCTCCACCGAGAGGAGGAAAGAAGAAAAGCCACTGAACGGAAAGTTCTCGGTGCGAAAGCAGCTCTCGGGGCTCAGAGATTGGCGGCGCGGAAGCCAGCACCACCTTTTTATCGGGGAGATGCGGCCGCAGCCTGCCCGGAGGACAGCGGTCCTGAGCATCAAGCGGGTTCCCCGGGCCCACCGGGCGCAGGACCGCGTCGCCCACACACGTGCGGCGCGGCGGGCCGGGGACACGAGCCCCGCAACTCGGGGGCCGG